GCCAGCTATGCTGGCTGGGGAATTCTGGGAGTTGAAGTCTACAGGATTTAAAGTCGCCAAGGTTGAGAAACACTGATCTAAGGACTCCTGGGCTGGGGGACTCCGGCTCCCCCCCCCCCCCAACAGGCCTCCTGCGTATCAGCAGGGCTTCGGTTTGAAGGCCCACAGTTCGAGTCCTCCAGATTTTAATCGCGGCAGCAAAATGCTAGACAGCAAACTGGCCCCCGTTTCCACCCTTAACATATGCAGCAATTCGCATTTTATAACTCCATTAAACAATGATACATCCTTCTGCTTAAAGTGCGTTCTCAGCTAAGTATTAAAATATTCTTTTTAAAAAACTGCTGACATGAAAGGGCTGCAGAGTCCTTTAATGATACAGCACAGTAATTAAAAAAAAATAAGGAAAGCTTCCAGGCTGCCATTTTGGCAGTGCGGCTTCTTCAGCCTTTCGGATCCATGGTTTTGACCGAGACCAAACCGAAGCCCTGTTTCCCTTACAGGTCGGGATCAAAGCGTGTAAGGAAGGCTGGGAGAATTCAGGCTTGCATTAATTCAATAAGAGTTTTCTGGGGACGGTTTGTCTCCCTGCTCTCCCTAGCCCCACATCAAAGGGGCCAGATCCGGAGGGATGCCACGGGTGTCTCTGTGTGCGTGTCTGTCTGTCCATACATGCAGTGCGGGCAATGGGATCTCCCTGCAGCACGGAAATTTAGCAAGAGGCATGAGGTCCTCACGCCACACACTGTTTGCCTGAAAGCAGCTTTTTCCCCCCACAATCGTTTCAGCAATAAAATGAAATGTAAACACTTTGAAAAACAAAAGTTTTATGTTTTGTTTGCTGCAAAACTGCAAGAAGGAATACTTCTAGCCAGGAATTCCCAAGAGACAGCCGTGCAGCTAATTCCATGTTTTTTTCTCCTTCACTGATAAACTACAGGAAGAAAGGAAAAACAGTCGGGAGTCGCATAAAAACAAGCCAGTTGATGCCTCTTGGATCCCATAAGATGTTATGTACTATGAAAGCGTGCTCAGAAGCGCCCAAATGCGGCAGAGAGAGAAAAGGAGGCATCGAAACGAAGCCATTGTGCCTGTGGGGTGCAGAAATTGGATTGCCGCGTAGATGACCTCTGTATTCCAGGAAAGATTAGGCATGGCAGCAAACACATACATATGCGATATAAATACAGACAAACACATACATATACAATACAAATACATATATACAGCAAGTTAAGTTTATACACCGTGCTACACCTGTTTTTGTTCGGCCTGCATTGAATAAGCCACAGTAGGTTGGCATCACATTAACCTTAAATCAGGGGTTACAAGCCACTTCCTAGAGGATGTTATGCCAAGCAAAGGAAGCTGCAGCGTGATTTAGGGTGATCACAGGGTGCTGTTCCATCCCCATCCCACTCAGGTTGTTATTGTAAATAACCGGTTGATTTCCAGTAGTGAAACTGACCGTGAGGAGGCACCAGGCAGGGTCTTTGGCCACCAAAAAACCGTGCACGCCTTCGGACTGCCAAAACTGTAGGGCCTCCTGCAGGAGACAGCCGAAAAAAGAAAGGGAATGGAGGCAGAAGCCCAGCCTGGGAGCCGCCGAATACAGCAGCACTGACTTCTGGGCAGGAGTTGTGCTCCTCTGCAGAGAATGGAACGACTTGAAGCCTGGGAAAATGTAGAACTGAGGCAAACAGCGTGATGGATTTGCCCCTCCGCAGTCAGGATGTCCTGCCCGTCAGTCTGATTCCAAGCCAAGATTACCTGGCATGGAGAATGGAAGGTGCCACTGCACCCCCCCCAGGCCCTCCCCCACAACCCCTGGCCCACCTCTGAACCTGGGGGAGCGTTCCGAATCACAGGCTGTAAATGCTGGTGATACCTTGAGGAGCTTCACTGTCTGGTTGCTCTCAGCTGATGCGTCACCCTCTTCTCCCCAAGGCGGAAGTTCGAGCAGAATTCGGATCCCTGGGAGGTCAGGAAGGGAGAAATACAGGTGGCAATGAATCAAAGAAACCAGCCATTGACCCAAGGTTAATTTTCGGAGGCCATCGCTGCTCCAAGGGGTGCTAATTTGAGCCAGCAGTGTGTGGCAGCAGCCAAAAAAGTGAATGCCATCCTAGGTTGCAGCAAAGACGATGAGGGGACTGGAAGCTGATACTTATGAAGACGGTTGCAGGGGCTGGGTACGGCCAGCACAGTGAAAAGGAGGACTGGGGAGATGATAGAATCATCCAATATTTGAGGGGCTGCCCCAAAGAAGAGGGAGTCAAGCTCTTCTCCAAAGCACCAGAAGTTGGGACAAAAAGCAACGGATGGAAACTAATCAAGGAGAGAAGCAACGTGGAATGAAAGACAAAATTCCTGACAGTGAGAAATATTAGCCAGTGGAGCGGCTTCCTTCCGGAGGTTGTGGGTGTCCATCACTGGAGGCTTTAAGAACAGATTGGACGACCCTTTGTCTGGGATGGTTGTTTGTATCCCCCCTTCCCTTGTTTTGAGTTGTGAGCCACCCTGAGTCCCCCTCGGGGGAAAAGGGCGGCATACAAATGAAATAAACATAAACATAAAAAACATGGTTGAGGGTCTCCTGCATGAGCAGGGGGTTGGACTAGAAGACCTCCAAGGTCCCTTCCAATTCTGTTAATAGTTGTATCACCTATTTTTGGGCGAAGTAAAGGCTAGGTTTATTCACAGCTTTTTAGCCAAAACCTGGAGTGCCATTCTTCTTTTGTTTTTAATAGCAATAGAAATAGCAGTTAGACTTATATGCCGCTTCATAGGGCTTTCAGCCCTCTCTAAGCAGTTTACAGAGTCA